GTGCATTTTGCCATATCTCATGAAATATGAAGCATTTATAAGTAAACATACATAAAATATTACTAGTGATCAATCATGTTTTTGATTTATTTTTACATTAAACTCTTTTTGTTTTGAAGAAACCCAAATTTTGAAGAGAATATTAAATAATTATAAATGAAAATTTAAATTCATCCAATTCGATAATTTGTTTAATTATTGAGAATAAAAAACAATTTATAGAAAATTATTTAACAGTCATTTTATTCATTATAGTACTTAAAATCAATTTTCATTTAATACTAATTTGAACTTTTTTATTCTAGAAGCATGCGATTACGAAAAATATTTATGAAGACCTCAGTACTCCAAGTTCATTTTTCAGTTTTGTATGATTAAGACCGAAATTCGAAACTATTCTTTCGATTGATGCTGAGCTGCATAGTCTAGAAAGTAGACGTACTAAAGCTATTATAACATAATAAAATAACATGTAACTAAGAAATTTATTTTAATAACTGTACTAAACATTTATAGTAATTTAATTAAACCCTTAAATCGATTGGTTGAAAAATTTAACTCATTTAAACAAACATTTATCGTTTTTTTGAAATTATAACTAGTTGTAAACAGTGTGCCCTCCCCCAAAAAGGAAAGAAACTGACCACTTTGAATAACGTTTGACCTAATGATCGGATCATCACGTTCTCGGGCTCAATAGTTCGAGGGAGGGACCTCGAATATATTCCAATCATTTAGTGCAGACGGTATTTTAAGTTAGGAAATCGGGCACAAAAACGTACTTTCTCTGAATGAACATGCCCTTTTTTTTACGAATTCGGTTTTCTGACCCCCCTCCCAATATAGCCGAAATCTGGGAAAGAGGGTGGGTCCCCATAGTTAGGTTAGGAGAGCAGTCCTAAGTTTGGACTCCTTAATGTTTGGTTATTTTTTGCGTATTTCGCCTTGAAAACTTTTTAAGCAAATTGAAAATTTTTGCATATAATTGTAAAGTTCGTTCCCCCAAAGACTATTTCTCGACAAAAATTTATTTCAATCTATGAATTCAATCATTTTTTATTTTATTTAATAATAGCCGAAAATATTTGAATTGTGAGGTATACAAATTTTTACATTATTTTAAAGTATCTAATTTTACATGGCAAAACACAAAATTTGAGAAAGATCGATCAAATAGTTTCTGAGGAATCGAATTTTTACCCAAGACTTTCTTAAAACGTGATAACATACTTAATAATAAATGTGGTAATGATAATATATTTTCAATAATTCTCAACGAAACAATGTTTCCAGTTTTTTTATTAAATTAAATGCGATTTTTTAAAATAAAATTTAAGGTTTCATTTCATTTTTGAATGAAAACAAAGTTGTTTAAAAACATAAACATTAAAATTTAAAGGTCTTAATAATTTTATAAATATAAATTGCAATGTAAAATGAGGTATCTATTTTTTCAGATAACTGTGGGTTTGTCTCTGTGGGTGGTATGAAGAAAGAGGTTGTAAGTCAAAAGATGCTTTAAAATATATCTATTTATCAGTGAGGGATTCAATTTATATCTCTATCCAGGGAAGGGAAAATGAGGGGCTATTAGTTTTCTAAACACTTGTTTTAGTATTTTATGCAGCTTTATTTCTTTTTTCCTGATGTATTTTGGTTTTAAAAAATGTTTCTTAAAAGTTGTAATTTGTAGAAAGGGAAATTGAAACAAAGCAGAAGTTTTTGTCTGGGGGGGGGAGTTTTCTATGTGGAAAACAGCTACTAGGTGAAAAAAAGTAGTTTCTTTTTCTGAAATTACAGATTCTATTTTACTTTAAGTTTCCGAAGAGGGGAAGCACATAAACCACCCACCCCCTCAATTAAATTTCAGAGGAAAATAGTTTTCTATTTGGAAAATAGCTTCTAAGTTAAAAAAAAAAATTCTAAAATAACCAATTTCACTTGAATTTAAATTTACCAAAATTGAGAAAAAAAGAATTCTTTTTAAAATAACTAATTTTATTTGCCTTTATTTTCGTGAATACCTGAATTTCAGAAGATGCGTAGTCTCAGATGTGAATTTGAAATCTGAGATGCGAATTTTCGCCCCCTCACTTCAATTTAAGAAGAAAAAAATTTTCTATTTTTTAAAATTGGATTCTGTTTTTCAAAATAGCTTCAATATTGAAATCTTTTTTTCGCCCTAAGATTACTATTTTTACTTAATTTTCGTGAATATTTAAATTTCAGAAGCCCCGTGGCAGTAGCGCAGCAACACGGCTATATTTTCGCAGAACGCTGCAGAGTTCTTGCAGAAAGAAATAAATAAAAAAGAAATTTTTTTTTTCTTCTTCTCTACAGAAATTTACACGTAATATTTAAATCATGCATTTAGATAATCACTTTTTTACGCGTCAAATTTATTCCGATAGAATCGTACATCGATGTAATGTTTCGATTGTGTTTTCGGCAGTTATTGATATTGATTTTCACTATTATTTTAAATATACCGATATATTTCAAACAATATGGAAAATTCGAATAGTGCATTTGAATATTTACGTTTTAAAGCAATAATTCTTTGGAATTTTTAGCTGTTATTGCTATTGAATTCCCCATAGTTTTTATGTCCAATATTATTTATACGATGTTTATTTCAACAATCTAATCTCGAAATGAAACAAGCATTTGAGGAGACCGATTCGCATTATTTCGTCGTCGATCTTTTTTCGGCAATTACTACTACGGATTTTATGATCTTTAATTATTTTTTTTATTGTGATGATTATTTACAAAATGCGAAGAAGGAAATGATTTGTTAGTTCCCTTCCTCTCCATCAAAATGCAAGAATATCACCCATAATATTAGAATGAAAAATTATTACATGTTCAAATGAAAAAAATATATATTTATTTTAAGCGCTGTTTTTTTTTTAAAAAAAAAATTAGCTCTTTTGTTATTTTTAATTAACAACATATATGTTTGCTATTATTAAAATCATCTTGCAGAAAGGTATTAGAGCCAGAGAGTTTTGTCGCAGATAGCTCGAAAAATTCTGCTACAGGCAGGGTTCAGGACTTGCGAAGCTGAATTTTGGTTTCGAAATTGAAGAATAAAATATAGTTCTTTTTTTTTCTTCTCTAAAATTGCCAATTTTACTTGACTTTTTTCACAAATTACTATGATTACTAAATTTACTGAGATTGACAATTTTACTTGGATTAAAAATTTTTTTTTTCTTTCTAAAATTACCAATTTTACTTGACTTACTTAATTTTCTAACGTCTAAATTTCAGAAGATGCAAAGCTCATTTTTTTGTCCCCTCACTTTACATTCAGAAGAAAATAAACTATTCGATGAGGTAAATAGCTTCAAAGTTGAAAAAAAAAATTTCTTTTTTAAATTATCAATTTTACTTTACTTTATTTTCACAAATGTCTAAATTTCAGAAAGGGTGAATTAAATTTTTCGGTCTGAGGGAAAAATAAAGTTTTCTATTTGGGAAATAGCTTTAAAGTTGATCATTTTTTTTGATTACTGGACTTTACTGCACTTTATTTTCAGTGGGTCAAAATTTCAGAAGCGGCGAAACACTTTGTTCGCTCCTCTTCATTACAATTTCAGAAGAAAATAAGGTGTTCTGCCTAGAAAATAAGAGTCAACGTTGAATATCTATATATTCCACTTTGACTTTATTTTCCCAACTGTCAAAAGGCACATTATTCGCCCCTTCAATTTAACTTCAAAACAAAGTAAAGTTTTCTTACTTGAGAATAACTTCAAAATTGAGAAGGAATAGCTTTTTCTTCTCTAAAATTACCAATTATCCTTGACTTTCTTTTGGCGAAAATCTGAATATCAGAAGGGGCGAAGCACATAATTCCCCCTACACTTAAATTTCAAAGGAGTATAAATGTTTCTATTTGAAAAATTAAAAATTGTTTTTCTAAAGTTACTAATTTTACTTGACTTTATTTTCACGAGTGTCTAAATTTCAGGTGGAGCATTGTTTAACCCCCTGGTTGGCACGCCACTGAAAATTTTAATAAAAGTTAATAATAAAAATCAACAAAAGGAACAATTAATTGACCAACAGCTTACAAATATTTTTTAGTAAAACGATTAGGCATGGAAAAAGTATTGCAGCTCAGGCTCAAAATCTGTTCACCTTAGATAGATCTCTTTGGACCGACCCCCTTACGATTTTAATGAAAATTGATGTAATGGATACACATGATAAATTAAGTAATTCCATTAATTTTTAGATTTTTAATTTGAAAACTGTTCAAGTTGTATACATTGTTGTATACTAAGTTGTATTTCAAGAATTACTTTATCATATGCATAACACCAAATTTAACTTTAATCAAAGGGTGTTGAGCCAAAAGTGATTGATATGGCTTCAAATGACTCATTTATTACTTGTGACAGGATGAGTCACTTTTAAGCTAAAATAAATATAATACTGAGCGTCTTTGTTAGTGAAATTAAGATCTGATAGTTAACTATAATTTTAATAACNAATAACGGACCCTATTTGCACAAATTGAAAGAATGTAATTTTTTCACAATTTCACAAAAAACGGACCTTTCACAAAATGTCTGGACAGACCCCTGATAGTGATAGTGAATAATTACTAATTAGTATTATTTGCTTCTAAAGAATTGGGAATTTAAAAAACACAAAATTGTATATAATGTTGCAATGGCAACCGAGCGAAATGATCTTTTTTCTCTCTCTCAGTATTTGAAAGTTTGGTTTACCAACGTTTTTTACCAACGAAAGTTTGGTCTGAACTCTTTTTTTCCCCCTTTTTTTTTCTTTCTACCCTGCAATTACTAAATTAGCAGTCTAAATAGAATTTACCATGAAAGTCCCCCCCCCACCCCGGTAACTCAATTAGGAATTTAAACAAAAAATTAAGTTATGAAACAATTTTTTTATTCTAGTCATTTTTAAGAGATTTTTTAAACAAAAAATTGTTGAACACATACTATAACATTTTTTTTCTTTTTCAGATGGGAATCCGTATGAGATCATACGGGGCATGTGGGAAGGTGCTTATGTGTCTCATTTCGTTCGAATTTTCCAAAAGAAGTTTGGTTTTAATTGCCTAACAACACAAGTGAGTTGAATGTTATATTTTTTGTTACATAACAGCCCTTTTAAGAGGTAAATTTAAAAGGCGGACTGCTAACATACTGCTCTTTTCTGAATTCCTTTAATGTAAGGTAAAGGTAAGATTTTAGGTAATTAATTAGCTTGAAAATACTATTTGGATAGGTGAGTCAAATTAAAAAATTTAAGGTCTGCCTTTAATTCATTTTGGTAAGTTAAAACGGAATGGTTGTTTATCAATATTATTTTTATTTATTATGTTTGCATATATATGTTTTTAAAATTTAATTTGTGTTCATCTTTGTGGATTTACCATTTTATTTACCAAGTAAATGGTAAGAGTATTTTATCAAAATATTATTATTTCATTCAAGGACTATTAGGTATGACTGAGTTTCTCTTTTAAATACCATATTTATAATGATTTGTCTTTAAACTATTTTTCCATTTGCATTAATATATAACTTTTTTAAGTAACTTATAGAAAGAAAATATTCAATAAGCAAAGATGAAAAATATTTAATAGTCATAATTTTGATTTAATTTATACTCAAAAGTGCTGCCGGATTCAATTTACTAGAATTTTTACACCAAATTTATTATCATATTCAATAGTAACTTTAGTTGCAAGACGAAGATATGTCATTATTGTGCTGTATGGTGTGAAAAGCCAAAGATTAATAAATCAAAATTTTACCGGTAAAGGTTACGAGTGACAAACAACATCAAAAGAAATATGTGACTATACGCTGTATATGTTCAAACAATCCCATTCTACCGCCAAAAATATGTGATTACACGATTTTCCCTTCACGTGCCACAGCATCATATATGAACGAGTCGACTCAACACCTAGAAGATGGAAGGCCTCAGCTTGGATCAATTTAGTAGTCCGACGCAATGAATCTAAACTGCTTAATGGATGATAAATACGAAAGATGTCACTACATTCAGACTACTAAGCTGCCCAGTGGTGGTTAAAACGAAAGATGTCATTACGTTTGGACTACTAAAGGATCAAATTTCTTGTTTATGGTAACCCGTGCTGAGGCCTTCTCTTTTCTAGGAGGTATTGGTAGACTCCGATCCGTGATCTTAATATGGTACTCTCATATTATATCTTGTATTAGTACGTATATACTCAGATTTTGCGAGCTTAGGGAAGAGCTATTTTCTTCATTCGCCGGTCTTGAAGGGGTTAAATATTCATTAACAGGGATAGTAAATTGATTCATCGATTCGCGAATCAGGTGACGGAAGTAAACTGATAGCATGTAAACGTTTTAGCTCGTCCGTTGATACGTTTCTATTATTTTTTTGTTTAAAGTTATAGTAAATTTTAATTAAAAATCACAAAGAGAATGTTTAGTGGTCAGAATTATTATGAAATATGCTATTTTGTGACAAAAACGCTGTAAAAATACAAAACCAAAGATTTTGCTACCAGTTTTTTTAGTTTTCTGAGAACGTTGGTCTGCTCACAATGTTAGATGTCTTAACATTTCTACATTATTTTGTTGCTTTACTTACTTATTATTTTATTCTCTTTAATCATAAGTTTGTTAGACTGTCGCTTTACAAATTTAAAAAAAAGTAGAATATATAAGTATTTGTAATGTTCTTTTTTTACGCAAATTAGTTTCACACTCTTTTTTTTTTCATTATTTTTTCACGATTCTTTCCCACTCTCATGCCTTGTTGAAATGATGAATAGAGGGATCATTCACAAAATTACATGTATTAAAATGTTAAGTGACATATTCTCTGTGTTTTCATTTAAAGATAATTAAAAATCTCCTTTAAAATTACTTGATTAAGGAAGTTTTAAACTCAATTACAAACTTTAATTAAACATTGGTTGGAGGGAATATTAACGGTTCTATTTTTTATGCAACTTTACAACATAAATTTTCTATACTTTGATCTCGAACTATTTTGAATTGTTCAGGTCTCTATTAATATTACTTTTAAAACTTTCTGTTCTTAACAAAGTAAATTTGAAATGGAAATTACTCTTTTCCTATAACATTTGCTTGTCGATCAAAATAATATTCTTTAAGTTTGTAGTTTGCTCTTGTTAAAAATAGTCTATACTGTTCCAAAAAATATCCTTTTTCTTTGGACCACTACGACTATATACTCTTTCGAAAGAACATTTGTACTAGAGTACACATGGATGCTTCTCATGCTTGGTCAAGCTGAGCCATTCATTTTTTCTCGTAAGATCATCGTTTTATGCGCTTGAATTAGCTGTGTGAGAAAAGTTGCGTAAGAACAATACTCCATATTTTCACACTGCAATTAAATGACTTACAAAGCGAGGATTGTCCATCAAACCTATTTTTATTCTGTCTCAAGTAGACCGGTTCTCTTCTTGGAAATCTCATTTGGCATTTCCTCAAGTCTGGTGATGAAAACAAAGCTTTAAATAATAACAAGTGATTTTTAATTTTTAAAAATGTTACTTAGAAGAAAGATTAAATATTTATAAAAAAAATCATTTAATTAAGTTTAATTATTAAATTATTATTTACTTTTGCTTTGGCATCGAAAGAGATAAATTTTAATTTTTTAACATTCTTTACACATGTAGGATACATTAGAGCAGAGGTCGCCAAAGCGGTCTATGTAGACACCCAGGGGTCTATTTAACAAAAGCAGGGGCAGATCCGAATCGGAAGGGTCGATTGGGGGTCGAAGAAAAAACAGTTGCCGAGTTCCAGTTTTATAAAGCATGTTTCTGATTGAATGTGGTTATGCATCTGCTTTTTATTTTTTTAATTTTGAGTTTATTCCACAGTTTATTCATTTTCAGTAATGTGCATGAGTATGCATATATTTGGAGTAATATATTTATAAATTATTCAATATATATTTTAATAATTAAACTGTGAAAATTTAAGCATACTAGTTTTGTAAAAGGTATCCTTATATAATGGAGCAATCCCAGCGACAGATCTTCTGTTTTCAAGTTGTGTTTTGATGTTTTAAGTCACTACAAAGAGTGTGGTACTGCCAAACATATAAAGTTGTCGAATACATAGCCAAAATTTTTCAACGTCTTAAAATACCGTCCGGATATATCGTCCTAAGCTACCGTTTAGGACGATACATCAAATACTGAGTTATTTTAAGAGTTGAGATTTTTTCTAGTTTTAAAATTAAATTTTTATAACCAAGACACGCTTGTTTCGCAGAACTGTTCAATTAATTATTTCATTATATTTATTCATTTTTCGAATTCTCATTCTTTTTGCAGCCTCGTAGATTTCTTTTGGGTAATATTCTGATTTTTTATTTTTATTAGTACTTTTTAGGTTTTTCTTTAAATTACATATTCATTCTAGATGAATGAAAAGATTTTTTAGAGCTAAGAAGTAAACCTTTTTGAGAAATTAAAAACATTTTATTATTTTAAAATTACTCTCCGCAAATCGTCCGACTAATTACCTCCTTATTCGAACAAAATTTTTTTGTACTTTTTTTGTTTGAGTTATAAAGAATAAGTTCATATTATTGCAACTAAACAAACTTTTTTTTTTTACAGTAACAAATTCTATCAATAATTTTAATTCAACGTTCAAACTTATTACACCTCTAACTTTAAGAGCTGCTCCTTATAAAAAAGATGATTTAAAACTTTAAAATTTGTCACACGCAGTTCATAAGATCTAATTGTAGTATGCTCTGTTAACAGGAAAATGCCACAATATGCTTTATTTTGTTAAACAGCAAAAACTAAAAATCGAAAATTGTAAAAAGATTATAAAGCCGTGATCACTTTTGAATCATCTTTTCAACAAACTTTTTTTTCCCTTTAATTTTAGATTTTTTTCTACTAAATTAGGATATATTTAAGCATTTTTGAATTACAAATTATTTTATAGATTATTTTATTGGCATGTTTTGCTAAATATGTTTTAACCGCTCGCTTCGTACTCCTCGTCCATTTAGCTGTGCAACCGATCTTTTTTCCGTTCATGGTTTCATTTCGGCTTTCTGTGATATTAAATTGTTTATTCAGATCTGGGATAACGAATGGCTCTAGTTGTCCATCTTTCTGCTAATTATACAAGTATATTTTGCATGCTCTTTTTAATGTGTGTTGTTCGTTGCTCAAAATAAATAAAAATTGAAAAAAAAAAAAATAAGAATAAAAACTGAGACTGGTAAAAGAATTTGCAAAGAAAAGCGAATTAGGTGCAAAGATTGCGACATAAGACTGAGCCTTCTTTCAAAATTAATTCTACTTAACTTCGTGTACAATGCGCATAAAAAAAAAATAAAAAAATAAATAAGAATAAAAACTGAGACTGGTAAAAGAATTTGCAAAGAAAAGCGAATTAGGTGCAAAGATTGCGACATAAGACTGAGCCTTGTNAAAAAAAAAAAAAAAAAAAAAAAAAAAAAAAAAAAAAAAAAAAAAAAAAATCAATATCTAATGATAGGATTTTCGTCTTAGGACTCAATCTTCATGGTTTGAAGAGGGTTACCTCAAATGTGATGATTAATTACTGCAGACGATATTTTAAGTTACGAAATCAGTGACACAAACATACTTTCTCTGAAAAAAAAAATTATTTTTTCGACCCTTTTCATGTAGCTGTAGTTGGGTATTTCAATATTTTTAATACGATATCATTACGACATTCGAATTCGAGTTATCACTTTTTGGCGCTTTCGATTCGTTACGATTCAATCAATCTTAATGTCATGATGTTTGGTGATAGTTTTTTCTTAAGTTATTTATAATTTTTCGGCTCCTTTCACATAGTGTTTCAAATTTTGATTTATATAATACTATATTATTAGGACGTTCGAATTAGATTTATCCCGCTTGACGCGTTCGATTCGTGATTGTTCCATCGTAATTTCATGACGTTGGATTCGTTGTTTCTTTCATGTAAATTTTTCATTTTTCATTCAACATTTTCACGACTTTTTCTCAATGTTATCCGAATTTATTTTTAACACGCTATTACGACACGCAAATTTCGAATTTGAGAT